GTGTGTCTATATGTGTGTCTGTGGGTAGGTATGAGCACTTGTGTGCAAGAAAATGTGTGGGTACATGTAAAAACAGTATTCTCTATGGAGCTGTCTCTCCAGCCCAGGAGTGTTCCATTAGAGAAATTCCCCCTGGGTTTATTTTCAGCTTTGGTGTTTTGTTTGCTTTTTATGAAACCAGTTAGAGATGAGTTTATAACATCTGTAAGGGAAAGAATCTTGAAATTCATCCACTCATTCAACAAACTTTAGTTCACACAAAGCTCTATGGGATGTCTGAGATGATTACTATGACTGAGGTGGAGCTGGGGAAGATTCAAATCTGATTTAAGAGGAGAAAGGAAGGTCTCTGAGTGTAGCTCAGTGATGGAACACTCAGTGTGTATGAAGTCCAGGGTTCCACTCCAACAATACAAAGGTGGGGAGGGAGTAAAGAGGTAGAAATGGGGCTGCTGGGGCTAGAGAGATGGCTCAGTGGTTAAGAGCACTGGCTGCTTTTGTAGGGGAGCTTGGTTAGAGCCCCAGCACCCACATGGCGGCTAATAGCCGCCTATAACTCCAGTTCCAGGGGATCTGATGCCCCCTTCTGACTTCCGTGGTCATGGCATGACATGGGTGCACTTACATACATGCAAGCAATACATAAAGTTTTTTGGGTTTTTTTGTCTTTTTGAGACAGGGTCTCCTTGTATTCCCAGCTGGCCTAGAACTCACTATGTAGACCAGGTTGGCCTCGAACTCACAAAGATCTGCCTGCCTCTGCCTCCCAAGTGCTAGGATTAAAGGTGTGTGCCACTACGCCCAGCCTAAAATAAATAATAAAGTTTTAAAACAAGAAATGGAGATACTATTCCAGAGAGGGGACCAGCCCAAGCAGAGACCACAACCTGGAAATGGTTCATTCTTAGCCAGCAGACTTCTCTACAACATGAAGACTAGCGGAAACTGGGGCAAAGGGCAGATTCCTTGAGGGTATCATCAGCTGTGCCAAGGAGTTTAACCCTGTGGTTGTGTGTGTGTGTGTGTGTGTGTGTGTGTGTGTGTAGGTGTGTGTGGTGTATGTACATATTTGTGTGTGTACATATTTGTATACAGGTACACATGTGTGCATGGATATGGAAGCCACAGGTGTCTTTTTAAAAATATATATTTTTTTTATTTTATGTGTATTCGTGTATTGCCTGCATGTAGTTAAGGGCACCCCTGTCGTGCAATGCCCGTGAGGACAGAAGAGACTGTCAGATCCCCTGGAACTGGAGTTACGGACAGTTGCTACCTGCCATGTGGGTGCTGGGATTCACACCTGGGTCTTCTGTAAGAACAGTCAGTGTTCTTAACCACTGAGCCATCTCTCCAGCCCAGGTGTCTTATTTTTTTAATTAATTAATTTATTTTTATTTTATGTGTATGAGAGTTATGCTTGCAAGTGCACCTGTGTCATGCAATGCCCAAGGAGGACAGAAGAAGGCAGCGGATCCCCTGGAACTGGAGTTATGGACAATGGTCAGCTGCAATGTGGGTGTCTGGATTCGAACCCTGGTCTTCTGCAAGAACGGTCAGTGCTCTTAACTGCTGAGCCATCTCTCCAGCCCCCACAGGTGTCTTTTGTATCACTCTCCACTTTACTTTTTGAGACAGAGTGTCTCACTGAACCTGGAATTCATTAGTTCAGCTAAACTCCAGGGATTCGCCCATCCCCACCCCCGCAGCGCTAGGGTTACCAAGCCTCTCTCTGCTGTAGCTTTCCTTTGGGTGCCAGGGATCCAAACTCAGGTCCTCACGCTTGTGTGGCAGACACTCTAACAACCGAGCAATCTCCCCAGTCCCCATTTTCATTTTTATTATTTTGCGGGGAGGGTTGGGGGTTGTTATTTGTTTGTTTTTTTAAGAGCACTGGCTGCTCTTGCAGAGGACCATGTTTGATTCCCGGCACCCACATGGAGGCTATGAACCGTCCTTAACTCCAGTTCCAGGGGAATCTGAAGCCCTCTTCTGACCTCTGAGGCATTGCATGACACGGGTGCACTCACATATATACAGTCAATACACTTGTACACATAAAAAATAAAAATAATAATTTTTTTTTTGTCTTTTTGAGACAGGGTCTCCCTGTAGCCCCAACTGTCCTGGAACTCACTATGTAGCCCAGGCTGGCCTTGAACTCACAGAGACCCGCCTGCCTCTGCCTCCCAAGTGCTGGGATTAAAGGTGTGCGCCACCATGCCCAGACAATAAAATATTTAAAAAAAAATAAAAATAGTGCTCACTTCGGCAGCACATATACTAAAATTGGAACGATACAGAGAAGATTAGCATGGCCCCTGCACAAGGATGACACACAAATTCATGAAGCATTCCATATTTTTAGAACAAGATGTTGAAAAGAAAAGCAATGCTCTGTTGGGGCATTGTAATAAATTTTCAGTAAAGCGAAAAATAATAATAAATAAAATATTTAAAACAAACACTCAAAAAAGGAGTCGGGTGTGATGGCACACATTTTTAATCCCAGCACTCCAGAGGCAGAGGTAGGCAGATCAAGGCCAGCTTGATGTACATAGCAAGACCTTGTCTCAAAAAACAAAACAAAACAAAAAAAAGGGTTTAGGAAAATAGTCAGCAAAATAGTTCTCTTGAAAGCCAAAAGCCCTAAATTCAATCCCCAGAACTCACATAAAAATGCCAAGCCTGATGCATACTTGGAATCCCAGCACTGGCAAGGCAGAGACGAGGATCTCTGGGGCTTGCTGGTTACCCAGTCTAGCCTAATTGGTGAGCGCCATGCCAGTGAGAGAGACCATGTCTCAAAAAGGGCAGATGACTTGAGAATGACACCTGAGGTTGTCCTGTGGACTACACACACATACACATGTGCACATGCTCACATGAACACAGAATTCAAAAAGACTTTGAAGGTGTTATATGCAACTGATAATTCAATCTGAAGCCGTAGAGGAACTTCCTAGATCCCAGGTAACATTAACAGGGTTCTTTGGTGGAGAATATCTCTATTTATTGTCTCAGTGTAGCCCTCGGAGTTAATGCTCGTGAACATAGCAAGTTTATGACTAGTTAGGGGAAGATGTTTTGTGGGTGTGAACCTTGGAATGCCATCAGATCCTACTGGTAGGCAGTGGACTATGAATGCCTATCACCATTCAACCCCATCTCACAGTAATTAAAAAAAAAAAATCTTTCTGGCCCTGGATAGGTTTCTGGGCACTGGGAAGTAAAGGAGGAATGCTATGGGGTGCCTGGTACCTAGAAAAGTGGCTGTTTAGAGAATTAGGAGCATTCTTCATAAAGAAGTGGCAGAATGGAACCGGGTGAGGACAGTGCATCTAAGTAACTCACTGGTATGGAAAAGGTGAAGGGAAGGGCTCATGGCAGACAGGAGAAGAGCTGCTGGGTGAGCAAATTGAGAGGATGGCTGGGTATCCCAGGGGACAGCTAAGTACATGTGGTCTCCTGGCCTGCTTCACAGCTGCACGCATATGGCCCAGAGGAAGAGAGTGCCTTGGTTTGTTTCTCCTGGCAGGCGGGAACATTAATGGCTCTGAATTTTTTGTGTCATTGTTCATTTCTTTTGGTGAGAATCCAACCCTTTGTGGAGGACTTGGAACTCCAAACTCTCCTGGAATAAGCTGCTAGAGGCAGGTGCAGAGGAATGTATTAGAAGCTCATGAGGACACAGCCTGTTTGAGGCAGTGACATGAGACAAGGGTGCAGACCCAGCAATGGCATTACTTTTTTCTGGGGACATCCTTCCTAGAAGATTCAGAGGTAGGCAGAACCTACAAGATGATGCAAGTCCACTGCTTAAGGAAATCCATAACCTGCAGGCAGGTGGGGCAGCCTGCTCCTGAGAAGGGAAATGGCCAGATTGTAACATAGGTGCTCAGGGTTTCAGGAAAATGAAAGATACTGTCTGTGCGGGTACAACTAACATGTAGATGCACTGTCATCTGTTTGCTGGTGTGCAGTCTTTTGAAGGTCCCCTTCCTGGGCTATCTCCTCTAGGCTGATGACTGGGGGTGAGGGGAAGCCTCAGGTTATCTGGGTACATCTGGAGAATGACAGCCCTGATCACTGGGAAGTGGCTTCAGACAAGACCTGGATTACAGACTGCAAACCTTCCTATCCCAGCTCTGCCACTCACCTGCTGTGCTCTGAAAAGGGAATGGTAATGACGGAATCTACCTCATAAAGGTGCTACCACATTAAGTAAACAACTGGCCAGACTTGGTGGAAAAATTCCTTTAGTCCCAGAGGTACAGGCAGGCAGATCTCTGTGAGATCCAGGCCAGCCTAGTCTACATAGCAAGTTACAGGCCAACTGGGGCTACAGGGAGACCCTGTTTAAAGGAAAAAAAAAAAAAAAAAAAAAGCAGAGCACTGGCTGCTCTTGCAGTGAACCCGGGTTCGAGTCCCAGTACCCACATAGCAGCTAACACTGTCCTTAACTCCAGTTCCAGAGGATCAGACGCCAGATGCCCTCTTCTGCCCTCCTTGGACACTGCAAGACATGGGTGCACTTACATAAATGCAGGCAATACACTCAAACACATAAAAATAAAAAAAATAATAATTTTTTTAAAGCAGTTGCGGCTAGGTGTGGTGGTGCACGCCTTTAATCCCAGCACTCGGGAGGCAGAGGCAGGCATATCTCTGTGAGTTCAAGGCCAGCCTGGTCTACATAGTGAGTTACAGGACAGCTGGGGCTACAGAAAGACCCTGTCTCAAAAAAAAAAAAAAAAAAAAAAAAAAGCAACTGCATGCCAAAAATGCTTAGAACCTTCCCAGCAGAGAATAAATACTTAATACATTGACTCCTTTCTCCCACCAGCCCACTCCAGTACCAGGCTAAGATCTACCCTCCTTAGTCTCCCTCCCCTTCCTTTTCTCATTCCTCCATCTCTATCCCTCTTCACCCCTGGTTTCTCCTAGTCCTCCAACACTCACCCTAAGTAACTGCTTTGGACAATATTATCCCACACAGATCCTTTTAGAAAAGCAGGTTTATTGGTCAGGCTGCTCACCAGGACACAGCAACGTGAAGGGCTCCCCAGAGCCCACCAGTAACTGAATCTGCCCACAGTTTAGGCCCCTTCAGCCCACCAGCACCAAGGGACCTCATCCTGTATCCCCCAACCTTCCTCAGCAATGTGTCTCCAACTGATTAGAGAAGAAAAGGAAAAATTTAAAAAAAAAAAAAAGCGCAAAGCTTTGTACTGTATAAAAGGTGTGTGTTCCCACTCCCACCCCCCAAAATAAAACCCCAAAGAAAACAATTAGCTGCAGTTCTAAGAGCAGAGCAAGGAAGATAAGGAGGTACAGAGAAGAAAGCAGCAGGGGTGGGGTGGGGTGGGGGGGTGTTCCTTGCTTTGACAAGTCTTTAATGAGGAAGAACAGGGGGACCAAAGTGTCCTGGTCAGTAGACTACAGACAGAAATCAAGCCTCAGACAGGAAGCAGCACCCCCACACACCAACTTTCAGGTAAGGCACCCCCAAAAGCAAGGTCTGGCCATGTTCTGCAGCTTTATACTAAGGAAGGATCTGCAGAAGAAACTGCTGGAAGGGAGCTGGGGCTGGCAAGTCAGCCTGCCTGGCTTCCCCACCTCCCCTTTAGCTTGGCTTTCCAGCCAGGCCTTGGCACCTTGCTCTCTTCAGCCCACCTCCCTGCCAATGCCCACTCTCCACAGCCTGCTGCTGCCCTTCTGGAACCCTAATTTTCTGGGCTTGGAGAACTAGGCCTTCTCTGAAGGTAGCTCCCAGACCCCAGTGAGGGGATCCAGTGAGGCTTCTTCCTCTCCTCCCTCTTCGGAATATGCTTTCTTTCTCAAACTGCCTTCCCTTCTGTTCCTGAAAATGGTCCTGCTGTTCTGGGACCCTAGTAAGATGGGGTTCTTGTCCAGTGTCTCCAATTGTTGCTAATGAGGGCATTTCTCTCGATCCATTTCTACCTTCTCCTAGTTTCCCATTCTCCTTCCCAAAGCCGTACTCATGTGCTCCTGTGTGCTGGTCCACAGACATGTATGTGTGCCTACATGGTTGTCTTCTCACCTCACATCCTCCCCCAGGCTCTGCTTGTCCTTAGCTTCTTCCAGTGGGACCCTTTACAGATAGAGTCTGTGCTGCAGACAAGGCTCCATCTGTCTCCACCCCACCTTACTGCCTTAAGTTCCCCCAAAGGCCCTCAAAGCTTCCAGTAGGAGATTTCCCATGTGGGCAAATGTCTCCCCTCATACACCTCCTTTTTGTATGTGTGTGGTACTATTGAGTAGAGACTGAACCTAGGGCTCTACCACGGATATATCCCAGCCCTCTTCTATTTTGAGACAGGGTCTCACTAAAGTTACTCTGGCTGGCTTTGAACTCACTCTGTAGCCCAGACAGGCCTTCAACTTGCAGTCCTCCTGCTTCAGCCTTCTACCCTTCTACGAAGCTGGGATTGCAAGCCTGCACCAACAGTCCCCCTGTAAGGGTCCACTTCAGGATTCACTCTTTCCTTTTGCAGGAATTTTGGCTTTGGGGCCTCCTGAGGTGAGGCTGAGGAGGGAGAAGAGCTCAGTAAGCAGGAATGATGCAGCTGGGTGTGAAAGTGTAGGGGCAGGGCAAGCTGGGTGTGAAGGTGTGATGAGGAGGCAGGTGCCCCCCCCCCAGGGGGTTCAACTGGGGAGCCAAGGGAAAGGATCCCAGACTTCAACAACCAGGGCGTGGATCGTTCTTGTTCTTCCTCTCCCTACCCAGACTTGCGTCCAAATCGAGGTTGTCCATGATGGGGGGTTGTGTGGCGGGGTGGGGGGTTGGGGAGCCGCCTCCCTGAGATCCAACAGCTGTGATTTAGAGGGATCCACCTCCAGGGGAGGGTGTTTTCAACTTAGAAAAATCTCAGCCAGGCTGGTGCTGAGAAGAAGGCGAAAGAGAAAGTTCAAAAAAGGAAAGAAGGTGGGCAGGGGTGGGGAGGGAGGCAGGGAGTGGCGGGGAAAGGCGCCGGCCTCCAGGGCAGAGCCCCGCGAGTCCTGTTCAGTCGCTGTCGCTCTTGTCCACCAGCACGGCGTCCGACTCTTCGGTGATCTCCAGGAGGGTGTGCACATCCGGGCTGCTGCCGCGCAGCAGGTCGGTGGCCTCGCCACGCTCCGCGCCAACCTCATCCTCGTCTGGGCCCACCTCCACCATCTCGGTGGCCTTCAGCACCTCCACCTCGCCCTCGCGGATCTTCTTGACGTGGAAGGTGAAGGGAGGCACCTTGTACACAGCCGTCTTGGAGCGCGCGTACACCACGTGGTCGGGCGTGAAAGACTTGCGCAGCTTGTCGCGCGAGGTCTTCAGCTTCTCGCGTCGCTCCACCGGGACCAGGCGAGTGCCCAGCTTGTTCATGCGCTTCTCCAGCGTGTGCCGCGTCTTCTCCAGGTTCTCCTTGGTCTTGAGACGGGTCTTTTCCAGGTTCTCGCGAGTGCGCACCTTGGTCTTCTCCATCTTCTCCTTGGAGAAGGCCTTCTTGAAGTCGTCCACGCGCCGCAGGCCGCTGCGCTTGATGCGCTCGGCGCGGGACTCTTCGATCACCTCCTCCACCTCTACCGCCTCATCCGACGACAGCTCGATGGCCGCGTCCTCCTCCGGCCGCTCGCCCTCGCCCAGCTCCTCACCTTCCTTCTCCGGCAGCGCCTCTGACTCTTTCAGAGACTTGCTGACGCTTAGTTTGGCCGGCAGCTTGACTTCATCCTAAGACGAGAGCAGAGCCGAGATGAGAAGATGCCGAGGGAAAGGGCAGACCGAGGACTGAGTAGGACCCCGGGGCAAACCAGAGGTGGAGTGGTGACCCTCCTGGGGAAAGGATGTCGGCCTACGTGGTGCGGTGAAATCCACCGGATTTATTCGCTCTTGTACTCCCTGTGCCTGGTACTGAATTGGGTTACGACATGTGCGTTGCATAGTCGCTATAGAGTCAGCACGAAGAGAGAGCAGAGCTATGAGTCAGAATTTGGTCTGCGTTATAACTGCACTTGGGCTAAATAACCCCAGGGACCCTCCAGCCCTTGCACTCTGTGGCTACCCTTGTGACTGCTTTAAGCGGCTGACTTTGGGAGATGCAGCTTAACTTTGGAAATGTCAGAGCGCCCTCTGGTGTCTTAAGTTACAACAAAACACCAAAGTAGGTTAAGGAGAGTGTTCAGTGCCTGAATGGGAGTTAGGGGACAAGCTTAAAGCGGACCCCCAAATAGGGTCGTTTGAAGGTAAACTAAAGAAAATGTGTTTTTAGGGAAGGAGAGCTCTGCCTACACGCCCCTTTCCTTCCTTGACCTCGTGCCTCTTGACCCCACCAATGGGCCCCATGTATAAATTAATGGTCCTGACTTCCCTGCCCTGAAATCGAAGGGAGAGCTGCTTTTCTATTCTTGCTTTGCTTCCGGGGCTTGAGCTTAAAGGACCAGGAGCTCAGAGCTAGCTCTTTGCTTCCCCCCACCCCACCCCTTCCTCTCAGAGACCCTAGCTCGGGTCCTGTTCTTGATTCTGGGAAGATTTTCCAATAATCTGACTTGTGATCAAAATTTCATCATTTTAGGATCACCAGACATACACACACCACCACCACCACCACCACCAAACAGAAATGGGTGACCACAGAAAGGGAAAAGATCTGATCCAACATAAATGAAAGCTCCTATTTGGCCCGACTTTTTTAGGTGTTTCAGACCAAGTTCAGACCAAGGAATGAATGAGAAAGAAAGAAAGAAAGAAAGAAAGAAAGAAAGAAAGAAAGAAAGAAAGAAAGAAAGAAAGAAAGAAAGAAAGAAAGAAAGAAAGAAAGAAAGAAAGAAAGATTTGTAAAGGTTTTTCTCAAGGTCATTTCCTAGAATTGTAAGAAAATCCCATCTGTTGAGAAGATGAGGCAACAAAAGTTGATTCTTCTCATAGAAAAACACACAGACATAAACACACTCACATCTACTCATAGACTGCATGGAATCTTTCGCCACCTGCTACATAAATTTCTTCCCTGCCCCCAATCCCTTTCCTCTTCTCTCCCATTCACGTCCCCCCCCACCCCCCCCCGAGTTTCCTGGTTTACACTGAACACTAGGAACACCTCCTCCCAACTTCCTTCCCTCCCTGTCAATAACATTAGCAGGGACAAAGAGGGAATGCTGGTCCCACCCCTTCTCCCAACTGGGCACCAACTCTATTGGGCACCAAGCCACCTCTTGCTATCCATTACCCTACTACACCTCCCAGCAGGCAAGGTACCCTGGGCACAAGGCATTCTGGGACTTGTAGTCTCCACCTGTCATAGGTGGGGTGGAATAGTACTGTCATTGGCATCCTAGGGCATGGTGGGTTCCTCTGCCTCTTATTCATGGAGGCATTGAAGGAATGTTTTTCTTGTTCTGGGTGTAAGAAAGCCCAGCCTCTTCTAGCATTCTGATTTCAATGGTACCTCTTGAGTCTTCTGCAGTCATCCTGCCTGCTCCTGGAGACTTACATCAGAACTTTTGTCATTAGGATTTACACATCATTTTAGAACTCGCTAGAATTAAACTCCCTGCCACCTCTTCATCCATTTCCACGCAGAATTCACCTGCAACCCAGTATTAAAAAAAAAAAATCACCTCTTATCTCTGCTTCAAAGTCTCCCGGACTGAACAACCAATCCATGTCCCACCAAAGAGTGAGAAAGAACTCCCCCCCCACCATTATTAAGCTCAGACAATGTGGATGGGCTAAGGAATAGTCAGGAAACAGTTCCAACTGCTGGAAAACAAATCTACATTGTCTCCCTGCCCCACCCCCAGGATCCCAGATTCTCCTCCTGTTCCACCCCAACCCCTAAAGGCCAAGCTGGCTGGTTTTCCTGGCCTCTGGCTTTTTAGATAAAGGTCTTTGCCAGTTGAGCTTGGAAAATAAAGTTTAAGACAGAGCTGCAGGCTTCTCTGATCTGCCCCAATTTCCCAGTGCCCAGTGCAAGGTCTCAAAACTATAATATCAGGGAGGAGTCCTGGGGAGGGGAAGTTTATTGCCTGGTCTGTGTGGAGAATCTCTACTCCAGACTAGAAAGGTGCCTGGGGGCTATAACCCCCTTCATAGTGGGTTTCCCTGGAGTGATGGCTTCCACCAGAGGAGCTGTATTTTTGGTGAAAGATCAGAGAATAGGGGAAGAATTGACTTGGCCTGAATCCCTGAACAATATCCCAAAGGCTGGCTCAGGATAGAGGACACCACCGTTAGCTTTTCCCTCCATTAATGGATTTCACTTTTCCACCCTCTTTCAAGTCAGGCTTCCCCCTTGACTCATGGCCTTGGAGTGCTGTGGGGCCCACCCAGTCTGCCTGTTGCTACAACAACTACCAACACAATTCAAAAGCACTTCCCCTGCCCTGGGCACACAGGCCAGGCACCTTTGTCCCATCCCTACTTCCTGGCAGAGGGATTAGGTTGGTGGGGGAACTAGGGAGGGGGGTGCAAGGAGAGAGGGCTCTGCTTATTCTGTGTTGCCATTTTTTATTTTTAATTAAACAAAACCACCACTCCTAACAGGCTTGGTTTCCAGAGTTACCTTTAATGACCAGGTCTGCACAAAAACATGCACAACTTCCCCAGTCTCCTGCCAAGCAACACACAGCTCTCCAAACCAGGAAGGCACCAGTCCAGGATGGATTTAGAAAGCACCCCCCCACACACACACACACACCTCTTCCATGCTGCCTCCCAACCCTGCTGTAGAAAGAAAGTGAGATCTTCTGGCTTAGATCATTGTAAGAATATAATTTAGCCGGGCGTGGTGGCACACACCTTTAATCCTAGCACTCAGGAGGCAGAGGCAGGAGGATCTCTGTGAGTTCAAGGCCAGCCTGGTCTACATAGTGAGTTCCAGGACAGCTGGGGCTACAGGGAGGCCCTGTCTCAAAAAGACCAAAAAAAAAAAAAAGAATATAATTTAACTGAGCACCTACTATGCTTTTGTCACTTCATGTTGGTTAGAGAGAAGGGACAAGTACTGCCCAGCTCTGGGTAGGAGCCTCTCTTGATGTAATGCTAACCAGTTCTGTCTGCCACTGGTGCTGAGGAAGACACTGGAGCCAATTCAGAGACCCAGGATCCACTTAGAGAACATGCTAGAAGAGGAGGTAGGATGCAGGAGAAATGAGGGGGAAGTCCTAAAAACCCAAGACCTCCACTGTCTATTACCAGGACAAGCAAATGAGATGTCAAATCAGAAGGGATCTTCCTTCTGCTAGGTATGTTTTCTTTTT